ATGTATTAAAATCTGCTTGTTGTTACACAGCTGCACTTACAAACACTTGTGATAATAGCACTTAAAATGATGATTACCAAAAATAACATTAATATCAATAATAAAATTGATACATTATTTTATAAATACAAATTTATTGGTCCAACCTATACTGCATAATCAAATAAGTATTTATATTTGTATGAATATGAACTATTACTTTTTTGCAACTCAAATGCAAATGAGAAGTCATTTATTCTGATATTTAGTCTTTAGTTCTATTGCATATGGAGTTATGAGATTCAAGTCAAAGCTAGTGGGAAATAGGCTAGTTAGCAGTAAATATCTCCCAGCTCTGGGTAAGAAATACAGGTTGCAGAAAAGTTAGTGGTAATTCTTTTGCTGGAGATTTTGAGATCAAATGGAGCTCCCCTTCTATATGTTATGGGACTGTGGGTTGGATGGTTTTAAGAGCTGACTTAATCCAAATCAAATTTTTGATGAACCAGCCATTAGATTTACCTCCTATATCAGGCAGTATTGGACCTGACATCCTCATCTTCATAAGGGAAACATGGAAAACATTAATTCATCTATTTCAAAACTAAAATGAACCTCAGAGGTGATCTGGTCCTTTTCCTTCAGTTTACAAATGGGGAAACCAGCCCAGTGGGGAAAAGGGAGGTGTATGTAGTCACATAACTATTAGGGGCAGAGCTGGATTTAACTGCAGATTGTCCCTCACCTCTCCTTACCAAACAGATGGTAGAAATACAACTGAAAGTACAAGTGCATCCAGATGATCAGAAAGTCCTGGGGCTTTGCTGAACCTTGCATGCATGTGCCAGGACTTCCTTCCCAGGACACACAGGGTCTAGCCAAGACTCCAGCACCATTCCAGCCATCATAGCCTTGCATCCCAGAAAAGAGATTGATTCCCACCCTCTCAGCCAGCTCCAAGGTCATAACTTAAACTGCATAATTAGAACATTCATTCCAGAGGGGGGGAAACATTTAAAAGATAAAAGACCTCTTTAAAACTTTCTTCCCAAAATACTTTTTTTTCCATAATTATAGTTTTAAGAAGTTATGGTAATGGCAGAACCGGCTACTTATAAGAAAATTAGGAGTCTCATTTGGCAGAAGAGGATTTCCCAGGGGACAACACACTGTCATTTTTTAGGGCCCCTGGAAAAGAAGCTCCACATAGACAGTTACAGGTTTGCCTGATGCATGGCGATCCTATTTCCCTTATTATGGCCAATTAATTCTCCCCAGAGAATTAAAAACACAACATATGCCAAAAAATGTATTCCCCTCCCGTCCCAAGATGTGCTAGCTCCAGGAGATAAAAACAAGTGAATGTGTTGCAGATGTACGTGGGAACTACCGCCTACTGAGTCATGACCCGAGGGTTCCCAAATTCCAGCTTGAGTGCCTCCCAGAATGTCTTTGCAAGCAAACTACTCCCTCTGTAATTTGCACAGTTGATGGCAGTTGGTGTGACAGGGGAAGGAGGGTCATGGGAAGAGCAGGAGAGACACACACCACCACCTCACTTAATTTGTGAGCAGGTCCTATTATTTTACAAATAACCTTCATGATAAATAAACTGCTTTGGCCACATGTAGGACTGTGCTTTTTTTTCTTCCTTGTTAATTGTATCTATCTATTTATTTATTGAGCTCAAAAGTTCCATTTAGGGGGTAATCACTTACCAACTGTGAGCTCCATAGGGTAGGAGTCTCAACACAGGCGGCACTTGCTTAATGTACATAATTTGAGTGGTTCAAGTTTTAAAATTTCAGCCTGATTTTCACTGTCACTAGCCAGACCACCTTTCTGCGCAGAGGAGTACCAGCAGCTGGATTTAATTTTCGGCTGCTGGACCATCCCTGTGCTGTCCAGGAGCAGCCTGAAGTCTGAGTGTGTTCCCTTTAAGGATTTTATTCAAGGTGACAGCTCCTCACACATTGGCACTCTGATCACCTCCAGTAGCCAAGATATCGGGGGATGAGTGGGCTCCTCCTGCAAAGTCCAAATTTAGATTGACTGAGGTTATCCCTAGGCTCCCTGACCCCAGTGCTCTGGCAGAATAGGGCTGCCAGAACCTCACAGCAATAGTGAGTTTTGTAATGATATCTGGGAAGAAATCTTCTGCAGGAGCAGGCAGAGAAGACCCCAAGTGATAGGGAGTGATGTCAGCTTTTGTTAGAGATGCAGACAGCGTTAGAATATCCTTGGCATAATATGGCACTGGTATCTCTGTCAGCATCTCTGTTTTCTGTCACCACACACAATCCTGGGCCTGTCTCAAGACTTGACTGCGTCTTTTCACATCAGGTTATTGCCTGCATTGAGACCAGCTCTGCTCCTCATCCCACAGCCCCTTTGTTTGAAGTCTGCCCTTTTGTCATTAATGTACTCCATGTCTATTTAAATTTGACAGTGAGTGTGGTATCTGTTTTCCCGTCAAGAGATCATTGACAATATTAATACCTCATGCTCTTGCCTCATTTTCCAAGCTCTGACACCTCACTGCAGTCTCCTGCATTCATCAAACAGCCCTCTCTCACCAGGATGTCTCTAAACATTCTTGCTTCCAGGCCCAAAGTAACAGGGCAGCCCTTAGAAAGGACTTTTATCAATGCCAGCTAGAAAGAAGGACTGGGGAACATAGCTCAGAGCACTACACCTTCCTCCATGTTAGGGCCCATATTCCAGGAGTATACTGCCTGTTTCCAGGATGGGATATGTGGTCTAGGTTCCAACTCAGCAAGATCTGGAGCTGAGGTTTACTAAATCCCATTTGTAATGGAGAGAGGAGCAGAGAAAAGAAATTCAACCCTGCAGGCACTGGAAAGTTTGGAGGACATAATGAATGTACCCACTGGTGGGTGATGTGTGTGTGTGTCTGCCTTTCATTCTCTTACTCAAGAGAAATAAGGTACTCTTCATGATATCTGACAGCCTTATCCATTTCTTTTTATAAAACATGCATACTGTCTTGGTGCTATAAAAAAGAAATGAACATCTCTCAGCCTCAGTCTTTCAGATTCTTGAGGGTGTATTTGAATCAATTATGTTTAAGGAACCCCCTTATAGATTTTCAGAAAGATCTGAGACACTCCCACCTGGCTCTGTAGGAGGTGCTGTTCCAGGAACAGATTCAAACCAGCCAAGACCACAGACAGGTTCCAAGCATTGGTGACAATGTTAGTCCAACCCCAGATGCTACATAATTCAGCCCAATAAAGAAAACAGCTCAATGCCAATAGCCAAAAGAATCATTTAGGCCCAAAGAAAGGATTCAGAGAGGTTCCATCCAAGCTCAGTGTTTCCAGACACCAAACTAGAACTCAGAAACAGAAATTGTGGGTAGGGAGCCAAAGAGAAAGTATGTCCAAGGGGAAAATATTGTCCACAGAAAATGTAACATAAAACAGAAGTAATGAGGGCATGCCCATGACCGCTTTGGGACCATGGCACAATATTATCCTCTCCATATTGCCACCAGTGAGCGGTTCTGTGACTCCAGCAATTCCCAACTTTGTCCCAAGCCATTCAAACCTAGGAGCATCTGCCCTGCCCTTCAAGCTTTCTAAGTCATTTTATCCTTATTTAAGAAGGTTAAAAGTTCTGCAGTGGAAAAAATGTATTTTTAAAAAATTAATTAATTATTTTAGACAGAGGGAAAGGGAAGAAGACAGGAATAGAAACATCAATGTGTGGTTGCCTCTCACGCACCCCCTACTGGGGACCTGACCTGGCCTGCAACCCAGGAATATGTCCTGACTGGGAATTGAACCAATGACACTTTGGTTTGCAGACTGGCACTCAATCTACCGAGCCACACCAGCCAGGGTGGAAAAAATGTCTCTTGTACAATCAAAAGAATATTTATTCCTTAGAAGTTCTGATAAGACGAACCTGGATAATTTCAAGTCCTAGTTTATCCCAAATGAACAAAAGATGGTGATTGTTTCCTACTATCAAACTGATGGGGAAAAAATCATGCATATAGGTAGCAATTTCTATAGGCCAATTTGTAGCTCATGAATTAATGTTTTGTGGACATTTTTTGTTTTATCCTTTCTCTAATGCACATATCAGAGACTCAAGTACTATTAGTAGTAAGACAAATCTGTGAAGCTGAATTTTAAGATTTTTCTAAAATTTGAAAAAAAAAAAACCAAGGTGGCAAAAAGCAAATTGTAGTTAAAAATATTTTTTTGAAAAAACTTATTTGTTCTTAATAATCCTAAAAGTGATTTCTTATGGATATTTAGAATAATTTTGAGTTGATTAAAAGGTTTGACCCTGTTATAAGGGTATTTTTCATAGTTAAATCCTCCTACAATTTCCTTGAATGAAAGCTGTACATGGAGCCAAATAATTATTTAAAATAAAACTGAAAATGAAAAGTAAACACATTGCAACCAGAGAATACAGTTCAGTGCACCTGTAAGGAACCATTTAACATCAGAGGCTCTTCTTACTTTCCACATGGCATTTTGTCAGCACCACTGCTCTTCCTTAATCTTTCATTACAAGCTTGATGCCTCCTAGGAATTGGAAGGGTCTTTTTGGAAGTTAACAATATTGATTTGTGATGGAGGACTTGAAAATAGTCACATTTTGGGAAGATTGTTCTACATCTTTTGCTTGGGCTGGGCCCATCTTTAAACTCCTAATTTTCTATTTTTAGAAACTGTTCAGGAGACCTGGGGAGAGGAGAGGGTTATGCTTTATTCTGAGGAATAATTGGCCAAACTAGAAAAGTCTTTAAGATGAGGAAGAGACATCATGCGGGAACCATGTTATTCCTAGGAGCCTGTGCTGTGCTGACATTTTATTTGAATGTCAACTCTGAGGACAAGAAAGTAGGGTCCTTCCCTCTGGGACTCAATCCTTTTGCTTCCACCCATTGGATCTAGGATTGTTTGTATTTCTGCATTGCAGCACCTTTTTGGGTTTTGCCAAAACTGTGTTTTTAATGGTGTGTTTCTTTTTATTTTCAGGTGTCCTGGGGAAGTGTCGCTATGTTTACTATGGGAAAAACTCAGAGGGAAACAGGTTTATCCGAGATGACCAGCTCTGAAGGCAAGTTCTATATGCCTTAGCCCATGTCATGAGAATTTTTTTTTAAAAAAAAGGGAAAGCAAAAATAAAGGAAAAAAGATGAAGGTGAAAAAAAAAAAAAACAGTGGCTCATGCTGCATCTTTGTGGGAAGGCTATAACTTTAGCTTTTGCTACCTTCTGCTGACTTTGCCAGGCCTGTCAACTTCATCTTTCTGCCTTAGACTGAGTGGTCACATAGAGATTGACATGATTGCCCTTAAGCAGGTCTCATCCACCAGGGTGACAGACAGCAGCGACGAAGCACCAGGGCTGACAGGATGAACACCATGATAGATTGCCTGGCCCCTCCACTGCTCACAAGGGAGCAGAGGTCACACCTGGGGCCTCCCTGAGCATGCTCAGTGGCTGGAGTCAAGTGAGAGAGACTGTGTCTTCAGCTTGCCTATTGAGTAGAGATGACTCTGATACCATTGTGCTGTGGATTTATTTTTAGTGAAATAGTCACAGTTTTGAGGGAGCCTACTTTCATTTATTTCAATTAAATTCTCTCTTATATTCTGTATGTTCTCCCCACTCTATAGTATCTTTATCACAGGCAATGCATTTTGGTTTGCAATTTTGCAGAGAGTAGAAGGTGTAAGTTCTCAGCCAGGTCATTCACTTACAGCCAGCTTCATGTTACAATTTCTGAATTGGAGTAACTAGCTTTTCCTAAATCCCTAACTATTTACAAAAGCATGGACTTTATCTTGTTTTGTTCACTTCTAAATTTATTTCTTACTCTGAATACTAGGCAGTGTCAGACATCTTTTCCAGCACCAAGGTCTTATTGTACCAGGAACACTTTTAAAGTGTATCTCATTCATTATGCTATTACACTTATCCCATTTTTTTCTCCCCTTTATCTCCCTCCTCTCTGCACTCCCCCACCCTCCAGCATTCCCCACCCTTAGTTCATGTCTATAGGTTTAACATTTAAGTTCTTTAGCTTCTCCATTTCCTAGGTAGTACTTAACCTCCCCCTATCTATTTTGTGTCTACCATTTATGCTTCTTACTCCCTGTACCTTTCCCCCTATTTTCCCCCTCCCTTTCCCCATTGATAACCCTCCATGTGATCTCCATTTCTGTGATTCTGTTCCTGTTCTAGTTGTTTGCTTAGTTTTTGTTTTTGTTTTCTAGGTTCAATTGTTAATAGTTGTGAGTTTGTTGTCATTTTACTATTCATTGTTTTGATCTTCTATTTCTTAGATAAGTCCCTTTAACATTTCATATAATAAGGGCTTGGTGATGATGAACTCCTTTTCAATTTTACCTTATCTGGGAAGCACTTTATCTGTTCTTCCATTGTAAATGATAACTTTGCTGGATAGAGTAATTTTGGATATAGGTCCTTGCCTTTCATTACTTCAAATACTTCTTTCAGCCCCTTCTTGCCTGTAAGATTTCTTTTAAGAAATCAGCTGATAGCCTTATGGGAACTCCTTTGTAGGTAACTGTCTCCTTTCCTCTTTCTGCTTTTAAGATCCTCTCCTTATCTTTAATCTTGGGTAATGTAATTATGATGTGCCTTGGTGTGTGCTTTCTTGGGTCCAACTTCTTTGGGCTCTCTGAGATTCCTGGACTTCTGGAAGTCTATTTTCTTTGCCAGGTTAGGGATGTTCTCCTTCATTATTTTTTTCAAATAAATTTTCAATTTCTTGCTCTTCCTCTTCTCTTTCTGGTACCCCTATGATTCAGATGTAGGAATGTTTAAAGTTGTCCCAGAGGTTCCTCAGCCTCTCCTCATTTTTTCAAATTCTTGTTTCTTCATTCTGTTCCAGTTGGATGTTTATTTCTTCCTTTTGTTCCAAATGGTTGAACTTAGTCCTGGTTTCCTTCCCTTCACTGTTGGTTCCCTGTATATTTTCCTTTATTTCATTTTGTGTAGCCTTCATTTCTTCATTTTGCAACCATACTCAATCATTTTTGTGATTGATTACCAGTGTTTTGAACTCTGCATCTGATAGGCTGGCTATCTCTTTGATGCTTAGTTCTTTTTGTGGAGTTTTGATCTGTTCTTTCATTTGGGCCGTGTTTCTTTGTCTTGGCATACCAGCTAAATTGTAAGGAGCAAGGAGTGGAGTCTTAGGTGTTCTCCAAGGAAGGGCAACCCACTTTTTTGCCTTGGGGGGCTGTCTGTAGGGGAGGGGTCAGACAGTAAACAATGCCACTTGCTCAGCTCTCACCCTACTTTCCATCACATCCCTTACTTCACACAAGCAGATTGTGCCTTTTCAGGTGCCAATTCCTGGGTGGCTGGGTTTGTGTACATTCTAGGACCCTGGGGATCTCTCCAAAGTACTCTCCTATGAGGCTGGGAGTTTCTTCCACCTTTGCAACACCCAAAGGTTTTTACAGCCAGAGGTTTTGAGGCTTTAGTTTCCCATGCTGGAACCCTGGGTTGCATGGTCCGTTTTGCTCTCCAGTTGTTCTTCCTGGCTTATCTGCTCGCAGATGTAGGATATCAAGTTGGCCAGCCACCGCCATGCCTGCCCAGTACTCCAACCACTGCCTTGTTGCACATCCTCTCTGCCAGACCTACCATCTCTGCCCTTCCCACCAGTCTGGATGAATGTTTTTTCTTTAACTCCTTGGTTGTTAGACTTCCATACAGTTTTCTTTTCTGGTGGTCCTGGTTGGTTTTGTTTTTAAAATGGTTGTTATCCTTCTTTTGGTTGTGTGAGGAAGTGAAGTATGTCTACCTACATCTCCATCTTGGCTGGACCCAGAACTTTTAATATTTACTCGTTCATTCATTTTTAATCACACACACTTCCAACTATGTCCATGGCTATATTTATATTTGGAACAGGCTTGCTTCTTTGGAATTAAAGATAGAGTGGTGAATCAGAACATAAAAAAGAAGGGAACACTGTAGAAAATATCTACCAGACCAAACAGTTTTTAGTAGAAGGTACAAACCCTTTGGATTTGGTATCTTTCTCAGGACCTCTCAGAAATGAAATTCAGGGTTTGTGAGATGGTCTTTGTACATCTTTGGCTGTAATTCTAACACTAATATTATAAGGAAAATAAGCATGCTCAGATGGGTTGGGTGGCTTTAATGTAATTTAATATATTGGTATACCAGTAAAATCAGTATGGATGCTATTTGAAAGTTTGGTTGCTCCTGACACAATAACATTTATTTTTGCTTCTTCGATTTAGACCAGTAATTCATTGCCTTGGATATTTCAGTATTAGGTTAGTTTGAGAGCAGCAAAACATGAAAGAGAATCCTTCCAAATTATAGGTACCAAATATCTAGAGAGTTGCTATTTAAAACTCTTTGAGGAGTCAGAATCCCTGAAATAGCCAAGAAGAACCTACTTTCTCAATTCTGGCCCATTCACATGGCCTTGGGCCTACTGAGTCAGTACAGTCCTTGAATGACTTGCATTGAGGCTGGCAGGTGTCCCTCTTGTAGATTATGTAAGCTTTGGTAATCAGTTATTTAGATTAAAATCCTCAAGACCATTAATTGAGGATATTGAATGTTTGCTTTTGTTTCTCAAATGGATTAATAACCATAGTCGAGTACCTTTTTTCTATTTGATCTATAAAACAGCATTGGTATAATGCTTTAAATTAGCTGTGTTAGGTCCCACCCTAATTCTTTGTTTTGTCCGTGGCATATCATGGGCAGCTAGAGTTTCATGCAAGGGCAGCTAGACTAGTCCAATGTCATATCCAATCTAGCGGCACATATATCCTTGTCTTTGTAAAAGGCTTTAACCCTGCCTCAAACAATAAAAAAGCACTTGTGAACTGACCACAGAATTTTTCCATCTTTATTTTTCTTACTTGTTTACTTTTCTTAATGTCAGAACCATTTGTATCATACACAGGAATGTCTCCCTCAATGAGAGCTTTGGAGGCAAAAAATATTTTTGGATTGAGTTATTGACCACATTGTTTCCCTCTCTTTGGGTTGTTTATTTTCTTCCAAAATGGTGTAATAACTTTAATTAAGATTAGCTTTAACTATAATTTACGTAAAGGCCATCACTACAGTATATTCATCTTAATGATAGGATTATAGTGAATTTTGTTTCTCTTAAAAAGCAATAATGATAATGAACTGGTGTTGGGTTGTTTGTGATTTCACTGCATGTTAAGCAAGATCTGCTGTGCTAGAATTATTGGTCTGCATTTTTTGAGAAGGAAGTGATATTGCATGCTTATCTTAAATCTGTAGAAATTTCCCAAACCCTGTTTTTCAAAGTAGAGAATTAGAAGGTAGTAAGTTTAATCAAAGCTCATACTTATTTCATATCCCCTTTGTACCCTTGGTCTTTCTGCTTTTTACCCTGTTCCACTAAGCTTTTTCTTTGGGGATCGGGGTGTCCCTGTGTCCTCTCTCCTAGAACACTGATCTGACTTGAGAGCACCCTGCAGTCAAAGGCCATCCTGGAGTCCTCTGTCACCTCAGCAAAGTCAGGGCAGACTGTCTTTTTCCTAAGTGACATAATTTTATAGAACAATTTGTTCCCTGAGGAATAATGTTTTAGATTGTGGGGGATCCTATTAAAAGTATAACTATTACAATCATTTGCTTTTACTTTTACCAGCCTTGCTCATAAACCCTCCATCTGTTTGTTGGTTTAAATAGAGGCACATTGTAAGAAATTAGGACTTCATCATGCTGCACATCTGAGTGTGGTATATTTTCACACATTCGTGTATACTGAAGAAGAAAAGAAGGCAAACTACAGCTTCTGGATGAAAGAATTCCTTGATTGTGTGTGTGTGTGTGTGTGTGTGTGTGTGTGTGTGTGTGTGTGTATTAGGTGGGCAAGGTTTCTGTCAGAGATATACGTTGCATATTTTCAAGAGAAAATGTCTTTCTTGCTACTTCTAAGCTGTCTCTCTCTTCTTTGCTAATATACAGGTCAAAACAAGCCATAGGGCTCTTTTCAATAAAACAATAGCAGGGTTCAGTAGTTACTACTTATAAGAGCAGCCTCAGTCAGACCTGCATCATAGCCCAGGGTG